ACGTGTAATATCGAGTATAATCTGCAGGTAAATATATGAGTAGTATTACAAATCATCGATATCACTGCAAGTTGAATATTATTACAGTGAATCCAAAAATATCCGGTAGTCAGATTTGTACGGAGACATTGCCGAACATTATTCATATGTAGATACTTATATTGGATAGTTAATAGGAATCTGTATTATTAATAGTAGTTGAAAAGGCAGTATTGTAGTTTGAGCTCAATTAAAGTAGGCTGATCACAGGTATAATTACTTACGATATTAGTTTATTACTCATAGGCTTTGTGATTAAAACATTATAAATTAAAAATTTCAAGGGGGGGGATACACCATTCGCCTCCCCTTTACCAAAGCTACACCACTGAAAAAAAAATTTAACACATTACCGACGACAAAATATACAATTGATAATACACTACACAGATATATAATTGTTTATTAAAACTATTATTATATTATTTACACAACCATACAAGTATACATAATTATTTAGCAACAATAGAGAAAAATATATTACGAAATATCAAATTCGTTTGCAATTATACATTTATTAAAATTAAATTATTTATAATTTATATAACAACACATTTAATCGAATTCAATTACGTTCTATCACTGATATTACTAGTACATAATTATTAAAAAATACACAAATATAACAGCGCAATTATTGTACATGCGGTTTACACGTGTCGACATTTTAATAACTAAACAGTCTCTCGCGTTAACACATCATAATAAACATTCTAAAATACGAATAGCTAGGTACACAAAATATATATAGGTACGTCGAGGATTTTAATTGTTTGGAATAATCAACGGACACCGCAAAGTTAAACTAAACAACATAAACATATTATTTTAAAGTACATTGTATTCTGTAAGCTATTTAAGTTTAAATACAGTATTATAAGTGCGTTAAAAATTCAAGTCGTGGCAAAAAAAAATAATTTAAAAAATACCGTTACATGTAAGTACCTATTGCACAAAAGAACAATGACTAGTGAGGGAAGATTGTAATGGAACCGGCTAGTCTCAAAGAACCCCCTTCCTACACACAATCAATAATATACCTAGACGTAGTGTCGGGTACGATGGATGCATTGACCGTTGTGTGACTGGCTACCTGAAAACTAGAGTTATGGTTCTAAACTATCATCGTTGATGATTTTTTCGAAAGAATCCAGCTCCGAGAGACTCGACTAACAAAAATTTTTTCATTCCTTTCGATGGATTTCTCATATTTTTCCGGCGATCAGATGAATATATTTTACGTTTTCGCAGGGGCTAATTAAGGTAATATGATACAGGTATTCGCCTTGGGTTTTATTAACACGAATATTAATATTACTTGGTGTAAACCGATATCGAAATCTCCCTTAGGAACTACAAGAAAAAGTATTGCGTATGAGGTAAACCGGCGATAATTTAAGGTCAGCTCCACATGATGCCATCAGAACGAATGTAAAAAGATACCTTAATTCGCACGAAACGGCTGAAAGTATAGACAAAAACATATACATTATTTTTTCCCGACCAAACAAGTTCATTGTCTGTCAAAATATCTATGAACCCCCGAAAATCAATATAAAATTGAACTCATTTTTACTCCTTTGATTATATCAAGGATGTTTCTGAATATTTGAAAATCTTTTTATATTTTTACGGAATTATAATAGATCTTTCAGTTTCAACCAATATTTAGACAGTAAAAATCCAAGTGCATAAAACTCATAATATAAACATCAAGTTTAAATGACTAAGTTCGGTATGTACCAGCAGCACTTTCAATAGGATAGGAAGACGTTTGCATCAGGGGCAGATCCAAACTATATGATAACCTAGAATTTTATAATTCAAAGGTCCCACATTTATTATGAAAATTTATATTTTTTCTATAATATTAATGATGATATAGAACCTACAAGAAATTTGTAACTACCCCAACTTTTATTTTCGAACAGAATAAAGAGGAAATTGTCCCAGTTATAAATGATATACCTACATTATATGTGATATCCAGTCAATCGGTTATAAGTAGCGGGGCCAGATATGGCACCTAAGAATGAACTTTACTTGTCGGAAACAAAGCAATCGTCTCAGACTTAAAATGTCTAAGATCTCGTTAATCTTAGATAAACTCAATGGTAATTATGGAATACAAACGGACGGAAATATGAAAACGCTAGGACAACACCTAGTTTAGCGTTATGGCTATGTGAGGAAGATGCATAAATAAGCATACAGAGATTTTTACCCAAGTAGGAGAAATTTATGTTGAAAATGCATCCTATGACTAGTGTGTGTAGGAGAGGACATCGAAAAGACTAAACGGGTAACGGGTTCAAATTAAGTGTACACTAATAATAATAGTAGTAATTATTTATGTTTTGGGACTTTAACTTATTCAAAATCCCTACATAATTAGAATCAAGATATCAAAGCATTGTATACATCAGGTTTTCTGTTTTCGGGTAAATCTGAAAAAGAGGAGATAATATGACAAAAACAACAAAATATATTTTTTAATATACCTATTCTAAATAATCACATGAAATACACACCAAAACATTTTATTTTTTTTTTTAATGCACAAAACAAGGTTAAAAAGTATTATTTTTCTCTCGGAGGAGTTTGATAGAAGCTGCAAAAGGCCTAAATGGCTTATAAAGCAAAAAAAAAAATATATATATATATGATAATATTGAATAAAAATAGTACATGATTGATGATTAAAGATATTTTTTGAATACTTTTAATTTTAAATTAGGCAATATGTAATATTTTCAAACAATTAAGTTGATAAGAATAATTAGTTTAACTATTAACATATGAGGGTAATGTCGTAAGAAATATACTGCACATACCTTCTTACTATTTGGTAATATTGTCACAAATAATAGTAAAAAAAATTATCTCGAATGTCTGTTTTTTTATAATGTAATAATAGTTTACTCGTGAATAATTTTGTAGAGTAATAAGAATTTCGAAAAATAAGAAAACAAAATTAAAAAAACACGGTAAATTTCATACGACAACACAATACAAACTTATTAAATACTTTATATATATATAAACTTTTGTAAATACAGTTGAACTCTGACAACAAACTCAATAGAAGTAAAAAATTCTCATAATCGAGGTAGATTTTGTAATTAAATGATTAATCATTATTACATCTCAGAGGGTGATTTTATTATTTATTACAATTATCAAAGTTCAAAAGTATTTCCGGTTTTAACTTATTAAATACACACTTACAACACTATTAAAAACATATTTTTGTGCAAACTCACAAACACAATTTTTCACAATAATATGCATCATAATATTATTTGAATACTTAAAATATAGTAAACACTAAACATTACATTTTAATTCTTATTGGCATTAAAAATTATAAGTTCATACTAGGGATAAGAATACATTAATAACTTAATCGTATATTAAGATTGTATGTATAAGATAAGTAAATATATTGAACTAACCAACTTATCAATAATTCAATAATGAAAAATATTATAATCATACATTTTAATGCATATTATTTTAAATGCATTTGTAATTAATTAATTTTTTAATTATTATTACAAGAGTATTACGATTATTTAAAATATTTAAAAAAATTAATATCAATAAAATTCATGAATTCATATTTAAAAATAAAATTTACAAAACATATATCCATAGATATGAAAGTGTAATAAATTAATTTATTACAAACAAAATATAATTGATAAGTTAGTTCACAATATCGAAAATTCATAGTAAGTACTACAAATTAAAATATATTAAAATTAATTACTTTTTTTTCCTTCGAAATCACAATAGGAACACAATAATTGAAAAATAAACAAAATATAGACAATTATGTTTTCAATATATATATTTTTTTTTTAATTTACAAAGTTAATAAAGAAGTTTATTATATATTATTTGTAATACATATATTTATAATTAGTAACTGTCAATAATTTGTATAAATAATATATTGCTATTTATAATTTTTTTTTTTTTATTATATAAAAAAAAAAAGGTTTCAATAGTATTTTTTTTTTTTTATATGAAAAATGAGTTCACAGTTTCATAGTCATCCATATAACACTTAATATTTTATGTTTATCAGTCCTTAATCAAAACTCAGTTAATGATTTTTAAAACTTGTAATAATTTAAATTATGTGAGATACGATCAATTAAAATATTTATTTTGTCAATTTTATTTTTTAAATACCAATAGTAATAGATACAACAGAAGAAGTTTAATTAATTAGACATTTTAAAAAGATTTTCATACTAAAATAAAAATCTATGAACCAAAAAAATGTATTTCAATTAATTTTTAAATAAATTGCATTTAGATGTGAATCATTATTAATACATTTATCATTAAATACAATATTGCACTGTATGCATAACATAAATCAATATGTTTTAAAATATTACTACTATAGTAAATAAATAATATTATTATATTTATGAAATTTCAATATTAATAGTTGTAAGACATTTAAATATAATGCTGTAATTTTGCATAGATAATATATAAGCATATTATCTATTTATCCATCATTTCAGCTATTAAAAATTAAATTATTATCATTAAATAAGCATATAAATAAACTTTGGGAATGTTATATAACAAATAATTTATTGATCACAGTAAATATAAATTAAAAAAATTAAAAATTGGCAGTGTAGAATAAATGAACATAAATCAAATTAATATATATATATATATATATATATATATATATATATATATATATATGTAGTAGTAGATTCAAATTTTCTAATTTTATTATCAGGAGTCTTTTGATAATTTTTAAGGATTTAAAAAGTAATAAAAATGAATTAACTGTCTTATTAAATTATTTAGGTTAATTTATTTTATACAAATAGTTTAAATACTTTTAAATATAGGGGCTGTAATTAATTTTTAAATTAAAATTCAATAATAATTCATGATTACATTGATCAATAAAACCAGAGATCATAATGAAATAGTTTAAGCCAGTCACCAAAACATGATTGAATTTCATGTCTAATTATTATATTTAAATTAAAAATCATTATTCAAAATAATATATCATTTTTAACATAAATTCCTTGTACATAAAAAAACTTATTTGTTAAAAAGAAAAACTTAAAACTCACAGGGACATTTAAAGCATAAAAACACTTCTGAATAAGAATACTGTTTGAAAGATATTCTTATATGTACATTAAAGGATATTCTAATAAGGATAGTTGAAAATCAAATTACAGATTTCCATTTAATTACAGTAATTAGCATGATTTTTCTAGTCAATAACTAAGGTTCATTTGGATTTCTCTTTTGATGTAAAATAATAAATACGCTTGTAAATTCTCCACCATGGCAGTATCCACTTCATGTACTTTTTCGTCATTATATTCATACCATTGACCTAAAAAGGAAAAAACCACCATAATATATAAATAAAATATAATATATATTTCCTTATAAAATAAAACATCTTAATTACCATCCTTGTCATCTAAAGCATATGCAGTATAATGTCCAGAGCCACCTCTGAAAATTACATAGATAAAATCATACATTTTTGAATAATAATTTAATATTGACTTACCCTTCTCCATCATGCACAATAACAGATATCAAATCAAACATATATGAAGAATCTTTGTTCAGAGTCTCCTTCTTATCATCGTCTAAATATTGAGACATATCTAATGAATTCATAGGAAATTTAATATGAGTATGAACTTTAGTACGATAATTTGTATCCCATCTAAAACGTTTGAGATGTAGACAGAGCACCTTAAAGCAAATACTCAAAATAAATATAAAAAACTGAAACCAACATTAGTAAGTAACCAATGTAAAGAATATAAAATTACATTAGGCAAAGAGTTAATCCAAAATCTCTTTGTGGACTTTTGTTGGCTTTCACATTTGCTACAAAGATAGAAATTGTTCTCATTAAGTTCTTCCACAGCGATGTATCTTGCTAAACAATCTATATCAAAAATTGTGTTTTTAGATATTATTTATAAAATAAAAATAAATTAGTTATTTAATTATTATAACATACCAGTCAAAAGATCAACTGGACGAGGTTCTGTTTCTGTATGTTCAATATTCTTATAATCTGGAATATCCAATGAAATATCCGAGAATGGATCATTTGTTCTAGAAGGAGTATTACAGTTCAAACAAAACACCTAAATAAAATCACAAAAAATCAATAATTTATATTTTCATTACAATAAATAAACTGATTTTTCCAAATTGTATATTAACAAAATAGACTTTAGTTTAAACTTAGATCAACTTATCACTGAGCTATGCAATTTATAAAACTCTGTATACAAATTAATGTATATATAAGAATGATTTAAGTGTCACTATCATTTTGATAGTGTTTTTTTTTTTTTTTAACTCTTTTTTAATGATTTGATAAGTAAATATAAAATTGAAAGCAAATCAAATGCTTAGTTATTTTAATTAAGAATATTTATAACTATTTATAATTGACAATCCACATTTTTATTTCATAATAATAAGGCCTTTTTTTCCTATTTTAATTTATAACTATAAAATATAAAATCTATGTTGTAACATTTAAAAAATAATTACCTATATTAATTGAAAATATATAACATTAAAAATGAAAGTATAATTTTTGTATTCAACACTAAAAAAAAATCATCCTATTAATTAATCTAAATTACTTAGCAATTGATTTATTTATTGTTTTTTTTTATTTCTAATACAATTTAAAAATATTTTTTTGAATTTACATCAAAAAGAAAAATTAATAATTAAATATAAAACTTAACAGTGAATTAAAGTAAAATATTACATGGATCATTCATATATTATATTGTATTGTATTGTATATGTATATAAATGTAAATATATATTTTAAAAAACATCTAAGTGCTTTGTAGCAGCATTTCCATGTTTCCCAATCATTATGTTAAGGCAGCCTATAAATGTCTTTTGTGTTGGAAAAAAAAAAAAAAAAATAAAAAAATTAAAAAAAAATAAAATAAAAAAAAATAAAACCTAGTATGTTTTAATGCAATAACTTTACTAATAATTTTACTATAAGGAATTTAATCATATATTTTAACGCAATACTGCAAACTGCATAATCTAATGTATATATAGTATTATTTTGATAACTAAAATATTTTTCTTGTCAAAGTTTATGGACATCAACTCATCAAAAACATTTTGTGACCCAATGTTGAGTCACAACCCAAAGTTATAGTTGATAGATTGGGAAACGCTACTCTGAAGTATCTAAATTATTATTACGAAAACCATAATACCAAAACATCAGAATAAAGAATGAAAATACTTTTTAAAATATCCAAAAATCCAGTACTTTGCCACCTGGGCCTGACCATATTTGCTGATAGAATAAACCAATAATTTTGTAAAAACTCTGATGGTTGAATCAATTTATCTACAAAATAAACTTAATTTTAGAATCCCAGATTTTAATTTTTCAGTGTTTTTCCTTTTCATATCCCTTTTTATTCTGTGAATTATCTGTGAAATAGTTTTATATCACGAATTATGAGAATAGCAAATAAAGATTTCTATTGAAGGACTAAACCAGTTCTTATTTATTTAATGTGTATATAAAAAATATATTGTTATTTTTATAATTATACTGGTATGTACTTTAACTTTCAAGATTAATATCTAAATTTGTGTTGGGCTCCTTTCATTTCATAATAATAAAAAAATAAATAATATCAATATAAAAAAAATAAATATATAAAAAAAAAAAATCAAAATAGACTTAAAATAAAAGGAATAGAAGCATTATATTTATTATGTATTTTAGTTAAATATAGCTAAAACTAAACTTGTAATACTGCAATAAATAAAATTAAAATTATTAGTAGTTAAATTAATCACCTCACTCAATAAAGTTCCACGAAATATTACGGACACAAGAGTATCAATTTTATTTGGATTTTCAATTTCAGTGCCTCTTTCAGTTAATTTTCTTATTTTTTCATCTCTCAACTCAGAATGTAATGTATCCAAAGTGAACATTAAGAACTCTTGAGCATCATGTTGATGAAATCCTCTAAAGATTTATTACAGTTTTAATAAAATATAATTATAGTACAAAACTTAATTCATCTATATTATAATAACTTATTAAATAATTATACATCTTTAGAATTATATTTATATTAAATTGTATTTATTATATTTCAAAATACATGACAGTATTAATTTTCTTATTGTATATTATACAACCATTTTTTTTAACATTTTCGTCAATTTGGATAGTTAAAGGATGTTCAGAATGAGATTGATCATAAACTGATATTTTCCCATTTTTAAATTAGCAAAGTTACTCAAACACTTGAATTTTTTTATAGCATTATTCTTGCAGGCTATTTTAAAATTTAAGTATTTCTGTGCCCTTTTTCATAAGCAGAAAACAAAACTTTTATAGCAGTGAACTGTTCACACAAATTAGACATTGGAAAAACGATAAGTTCGTAAAACAACAATCAAAGAAAAAAAAAGACACAAACTGAACACAATCTTTTAAAGTGACTGCAGTAGACATTCTCTATATTTATTATACATATATAAAACCTATGAGCATATTGATTGGTAAAGTTTCTCTGCATGTCTCTTACGGTAAAAACCATAAAAACCGTTTACTACTAAAAATCTGCCTTCCATCACATCAGTTTGGTTCCTCTTGGGTTAGATTAGTATTTATTATAAATATCATATATAATGATACCGTTTTATTCACAGCTAGTACAATGGAAAAGAACTGTAATTAAAAAAGTTTACACTATGTGGAAATTAAGACAAATTAGGTTACAAATTGTCTTAGATATTAGTTTTTGGACATGATTTTATCTAATCTAATCAAACCAACATGATGGATAAAATATCTATAACATGAATTATTTATTTGACTTTGAATTTTTAAAAAAAAATGTAATATTTTTATAGTAATATTTTTTATTATAAATAAAAATAATACTTATTTTAGTACACTAACTTGTAGCGAGGTTTAATTTTACAAACAATTGTATAAAGATCAGCTGGTGAAATAGAATCTCGATTTTTTTTGCCAGAAGGTTGTTTCCAATCAATTAAGGATGTTAACAATTTCCACAATTCTTCTCCTATAGTCAACTTAACGGTTTTTTGAGCAATATTATCGTTGTTATTATAAAACACTACATCAGCAGTTCTACACAATTTCAAGCAGTACATAAATGGCTTCAAATGACTGAAATTTAAAAATATATATATTTACAATTTACATATAAATTAAAAAAATATAAGCAATTAAAAGTTAAATTTATTTAAAATTCTAAAATACTTAAAATAAGATAATATAAATTAATTTTAGTTAACTTATGTGTAGCATTAAGTATTTAATAACTATAATATAATTCTTAATACTCAAATAAGTAATTAAATATTATAAATTAATTAGATTGATTCAGACTTAAGATAAGTAACATTAAAACTATATGGACATAAATCTGAAACACACTTATGATTTAAGTATGAAGTAGTATAAGAATATGTTAAGTTTTTATGAAACTATTAAGATACATCAGGGTGGTTCAAACCACGGCTTGCGGGCCACATGCAACCCTTGAAGCTTTTTTTTCTCGCCTTCCACCATAGAAAACTTTTATTAAAAAAAAAAAAAAGTTACAAAAATATTTTAACAAAATCGTTGTATGATTTTATACTTTTTATGTTTTTTACATAGGTATACGTGCAATAAGTAACATCCAAAACCATCATTAAAATCAGTTCACTTTGTACGTATGCAGGTATCTTGTTTTATAGCAGCTACAGCGAATTCAATTTCTTGTGGTGGAAGATTGTAGAAGTCATTATTATTATTATTTTAGTTATTATTAGGTGGTGATTATTGAATGCAGGTCTTACTCGATAATAATATATATACATTTTTTTTATGGCAGCCCTAACTCTTTTTATGAAAGTGTAAATTGGCCTGCAAACTGTGAAAGGTTGGACCATCCTGAGATACATAAATCAACTACGGGAAACTAGAGGTTCAAGTCTGGATGAACCAATGCATAATTTTTATCTAGTTCATGCATCATTGCTATTTCTTAAATACATTTTTTTTCGTTTTCGAAGCTCTAGCCTGTTCAATCAAACCAAATAAGTAATAAAGTATTATTTACCGTAAAACTTGCCAGATAGCATTCATAAAACAATTATTTCCGCTATTAGTTATGCCAACTTTTTTATTGGTTCTTGGACCTCGTTTAAAAATAGGCTTTTTCGGTTTTTTTGGTTTTGCTGCTTTTTTGGTAATAATTTTTTTTGGTGTAGCATTAAGTCCATTTTTCAACATGACAGTTTCAGGATCATTTTCGCTAAAAAATGTAAAGATATAAGAAAAAGTAAAATTAAAATTATAAGTAGGTACAAACCAATAAAATGTTTGATAATGCATTAAAAATTAATTCATTTTCAGTGTTGAAGGGTAACAATAATAGTTAAATAAAACTATTATAGCTATTTTATTTAAAAACATAAATTTAATTTATTTTACTATGTTTTAACATATATTATAAGTCATAATAAGTTATACATTTTATTAATAATGGTTTTAATAACTTTATAGTTTTAGATTTAAATAATTAAAAGGTAACTTATTAAAATTAATTATATTTATTGTTATAAAAATTTAACACTGAACTTTTTTTTCTTTTTTTTTAATCTAAAGAATTGTAAAGAATCTATAAAATAAGGTTTACAATAAGCACAAGTGAAGAGAGAATTAATACAGAAAAGACAAAATAATGGATAATGTAAAAAAACAATAAGTCAAGTTAAATCACAATTATTTACATCAGTTCAGGTCAAGGAGACTTAAGTGAACTGAACTAACTTTTAAAATTAATTTACTTAATAATGAAAACTTTTCAAAAAAATTAACAATTTACAACAAGAGCAAAAATGATCAAATATAAATTGAGTTACCCATTCGTTCAGTTTTACAAGAAAGTCTCATATTTTTAAGTAATGTTCAAGTGATAATAATACTAAGCAATTCTAAAAAGTCTATTGTATGGAAATATTTGCCTTATACCGAATTCATGCATATACATTTAAGCAATTGATAATTCATTTATACATGCTTAAGAAATAAATAAACTAATTCTTTAGAAAAAAAAAGGGTAAGACTTTTTCTGACTGAATTATAAATCAGTATATGATAATTATAATTAAAATCATGGTTATGATCTAGTAAGTCAATTTTAACAGTAAGTCACATTTTGGACCACAATCAAAATTATTAAGTTCATGTTTTTAAAGTATAAACACATTATATTTTATATAAATCTCATATTTTACCATTATTTTTTTTTTTTTTTTTAGTTATTTGATTTATTTTGAAACATTGACAAAGAGAAATTTTAATATTTTAGTTTTTTTACTATTAAGTTATATATACATTTTTGTTTGTTTAATTTTTAATTTTTACTCTTAACCAGGGAGTCAAAGTAAGATGACTTTTCATGGGTTTGGATTAATTAGTTTAATTTTTTCTTATTTTCATGTGATAAGGTATACCATAATTTTGTTAAGCAGGAATAGTTTCAAGGACTTTATTATTTTATATAATTATGTAAGTATTACATATTAAATAATATTGAATTTTAATTTTCTATTTTTTTTTTTTTTTTTTAAAAGCTTTAACAAGACAGATACAACTCTACAAAAAAGAACTAATTTAATTAATATAGACTATTTATTCTTTATAGGACTGACATTAAATAATAAAATATTTAATGAGTATAAAGTGATAATTGTATAAGTAAAAACTATACAATACCATTAGAAAGTTTTATTAATGAAAATAAATCAATTTGTATTGATTTGTGATTGCCATTAAGATAAACCAAACAATACTGTTAAGACTAGAAAGTTGCCCAAAATTATATTTAACTAATTATTAAAAAATACCAAAAACAACTAGTTTTCATACCAACTTCAAACTATTCAAACTAAAATAATTCATATGTTGCATATACACTACGGTCCATTATTTTAAAATATTTTGGTAAATGGAATTATGTGTATAGTATTCAAATAATTATAGGAATTTAGGCACTAGAAGACACATATAAATAAAATATTAATATTAATAAGGTACATAATAGATTATAAGAAGATATAAGTTAAAACCGTGTTATGTTAAATTTTTATTTATATATAACATTTTTATTAACATAATACTTTTTAGAATGGTTAAAGATTTCTGTGTAAATTAATTAATAATTTATTGGCTAATTGACCTTTATTAATGCCTACCCGCATTGTTGGAACTAATGGATAAAAATTAAATACCTATTTAATTTCTAATTTCCATTCCTTGAAAGTAAAATAAAGATAAACTCTTAATATTTTTATTTATTTGTATCAGATTAGTTCATGGTTTAATATTTTAAATTACATTACAATATTAATTTGAACTCTGGTTTTTGAATTGAAACTGGGTTTAATTTTTTTCCGGGTAAGGGCGTCGAGTAAAAACCCGGTTCATATATTTCTAGGGTATTGATTTTTAATTCATACACAGTTTAAAAACCAGGTTGTAACTCGTTTGACTCCCTGCTCTTGACACATTAAACACAAAACTTAAGTTTAAGATAAGAATAAAAAATTTGTTTTCAAATTATCATATCAAATTATTATAAATATAATATGGTAATCATAGAAAAAATATAGTGTCAGATTCACTTTAAAAAATGTAAACAGATTAAGATAATTAGTACTATTAAACAATTAGTTTGATTTGTGATCACACCAATTGCTTAAAACTTATATACTTTTGAAAATTTGAAAATAATATTTATTTGATTTTAATAAGTCTCAATATTTACCTTAGTTCTGTAGAATCAATTCCAGTTTTAGATCCAACAGTTTTTTTTTTGGACCTATAACGTCGTTTACGACCAGTCTTCTTTCTTGGCTTAGTAGATTTTTTAGGGGGTGACCTTTTTCTAAATATTTAAAATATGTTAAACTTCCATAGTTTAGAATTCTATATTTTTATTAAAATATAATAATTACCTTGGATTTTTTTTAGTATCATTTGCATTTGATCCTTGGTTATATAAAATAAATTGTCTCAATCTATTAAGCTCGTCATCATGATTTTTAGGAACAACATCCGAATCACATTTGAAACTTTAAAATAAAAACATATTCCTACTATAACAAACTATACAGTTGAAAGAGTTTTAAGAATTTAAATTTCTTCTTTACCTTCCCATTCACAATTTTCTTAACTAGAAACCTGAAGTCAGTCACCCCTATTCTTAGCTTTCACATCAAATGGTTCCCCTTAATATTCTATTTTTAACTACCCTCTACAGTTCATTCATTTTTATTAATTAATTTATCAATCTATTGTTTCTTCCTTAAAACTGTTTGCATGACATATCAAGCTTAATTTATTAATTTTCTCTATTATTAAGAGACAACATTAAATATTCCTGTTTATTAATTATCTTATATTCTCTAATCACTTAACATCTACAACAATTTAATATCTCCTAAGTTCATTATTTTTAACTTCATATTCTTAAATTTTTAATACCAATATTTTACTTAATAATAAAATAATTTAATCTATGATTTAACATATTTGGTTTCATATTTGGCCAAAGTATAGTGTAAGGATGAATAAAACTATTATTCATTATATGTGTTTTGTAGATATAAACTAAAACAAAAATAGTTTAACTGATTTTAAAATATTCACAACTACAGTAAATATATTTTATTTGTTACACTAAAAATTAAATAAATTATTGTACAATCACAAAGGTATAAATACAATGTACTAAAAATAATAATCAATTTCAAACATATCTACAGATTATTAAAATATGAATCATTGCTCTAAATTATTATAATTTATTACCTAATCATATATAATGTAATATATTCAATTACTAATGTAAGTAAAAATGTTCTCAAGGAAAAGCTCTCATTAATACCTACTCATAATTATTTTTCCACAAATACTCTTCAGTCTTAAAATATCCTCTATTAAACTTAAAATATGTACAAATGTAAGAATTGCGTTCTTTGTATCCAACATACAATCTTTGGAGACTCATACAATTTTTCGTAAGTAAATATACGAAAATCATACACAGCTTTATTTTGTTTTTATAACTTCAGTACAACCCTCATTATACATTATGTATTTCCTGTAGTGGATTTTCAATGTTTATGTAATCTAAACTGAATTTTGAAAATTCTATCACTTTTATTTACATACTTTCCACAATATCTTCCAAAATTGTCATAAAAAATAGGTTAAGAGTAGCATTTCCTTGATTTTTAATTAGCCTAGTGCTAAAAACCATTTAATATTACAATATACTAGAATATTTTTGTTACAAAAATAAAGAATATTTCTGGCAGATAATATTTCAAGCCATATAAGTTTTATTTGAAATCCATCTTTAGACCAGAAACGACATTTTTACTTACCAAAATATAGCTGCAGACTCAAGGTTTATAAAAATGCAATGATTTTTATGGAATTCATAATGTGCAGTATTATGTCCTAAAGCATTAGGACCACACAAAATTTGTCTACACTCCAAACAAATCCATAATTGATCAACTCCAACACATACTGAAAAATATAAATTGATTCTAATCAAATTTTATTTTATAAAAATGAATGTAAATTTAGTCTATTATAATAATGTATAATATTAATTTAAAATATCAGATTTATATTGAGTTTCCACAAAAATTCAATCAAATCGAATTCTACATGTTTTTAGAGTAATAAATATTGCAAAACGTTGAAATGAAAATTTTTTAAAATGTAGTTATATCTGTCTTATACAGGGCTAGCCCAATGCAGTAAAAGGCAGTCACCTAGGGCGATACTAGTTTATTTAAGGGAGGCAAATTTCGAATAAACCAAATCAATTTATATTCCCATTGGAAGTGTTACAGTTTATAGTAAATAATAACAATATTGTACCAAATGTAGCTGTAATACACCGAAAATTGTTTTAACAATGCCTGTATTGGTTGGATCAGGTAAACAAAACTTTTCCAAATTAAAAATTAATTAACCACTATTTAAGGTCTTCCAAGAACGAAGAAAGGTTAAGTGATCTTGCTATAATTTCTATTGAAAAATCTTGAATTCAAAAATATATTGTCTAATTTTACACAAAAAATTACTCCCAAAATTAATTTAATTTAATATATTTTTCACTGTATAATTAAATATTTATTATTAATGTATGATAAAGATAATAAATGTATTAATGTCCGTTATAAATATGATTAGTACTGTTTCAAAACATTAATTTTAATTTTATAAATTTTATATTTTTAAATAAAACTAAAGGCATCAAAACATTTTTTTTTTTTTTTTTTAAATAAAAACCCGTGTTTATAGTTAAAAAGCAAATATTCATGTTTTATATAACTTTATTCTTTCCAAAAAATTAACTTTTGAATAGGACAGTGTAAATTAAAATTTCCCGGTCTTGTATATATATATTATGCGGTGAGTTTTGATGATATTTTAGTAAAGATATTAAAACTTGTATTTGACAAATCCACTGACATACATATATAACTTAAGTATTAAAAATGATTTTTTTTCAGAAATACTTAAATTGACAATAATCAAACCAATATATGAAAATGGCTGGCAGTTTTTTTATATAATCAATAATTTTAATTGGTTAAAAGATTATTTTCCATATTTTATACATAATTGATAGAGATTATTTATACATTATGTGATTGAAAAATATTTTACAAATACAACAAATATAAAATGTTTTTCTAGCAATCATAGACTCACAATATTGTTATAGAAGTATTTATATTTTAATAATGGTAAAATTCCACTTTTACCACTGTTAAAATTATATGAACATGGCCGATTTTTACCATAAATATACTGATTTAATTGTTTTTATTTCCTTTTACAAAGAAAATTTAAGAATTTTTTATTTGTTTTCCTAATATATTCCTATTAAGCGTAACTATCAAATAATCCATTTATTTGTTACAGTTAATTTTCAGATAATAATCCTTAATCGTAACATTTTATCAATTATAGTTCATTGTATTTTATGTATAAATAATAACCAATTATAGTTTAAGTATCAGTTATAAACAATTATAATTTATAAACTGATAATAATCTGTCACAATTTATGAATAAAAAATAACCAATTATAACCGTTATAATTTTCTAAATATTGATTATATGGAAATTAAATAATCGTACAACTTTAATCAAAACAACAAATTAAGAAATATTCCGATAAACTGCTATAATGCCTTAACTAAAAAAACACCACTGGAACTAACATTTTCCATATGAGTATCCTGGATAGTAGAAGTTGATCCATTAATCTATAATAAAACAGTAAATAAGCAATTCTACATAAGCATAACTTACTGCAGAATACAAATATATAATGATCTCAAGATGTTAAATTTGTCAAAGTTATGTCCACACATATTGCAAAATATTATCTAACCAATAACATGTATGAATTTTTCCTCACAAAAAAAATACTAAGATTGAAAAAACTGTAACAGAACTCCCAAAAAGTGTGAATTGTAGAATGAATGAACCAATAAACCATTTGAACTGCTTACTTTGTAAGAACAATGGTCCGGAGAAATAGAAAGTCGTACTTTATACCCAAAATTACATTAAGTTAAAAGTAATCAAGATAAACGCAGCAACAACATAGCTAATGATAAACTATTACACTACAGTTAAATTAATAATATAGACATTATACTGACACGAGAACTCTTGTAGATTGGAATCAGAAAAAACCTATAGTAACAACTGCTTATTGTAAAAGACAATTAAAATATGGTAGCAGATGGAAGCAGTAACCGCTACTACTGAATATTGGTAATTTCTGTAGCAAAACTAACGACAATGGAAAGAATTGAAGTTTCATATACTGACTCACTAAATGCAATGTAGAAAAAAAAGGAGTCCACAACATTAAAACCTTAGTAAATCAGTATAAATCAGAATGGATCAAGTAGAAGATTTAAAAGTCACAGGAACAGATGCACTTGGAAATATCAGAACAGGTAAGGATAGAACCAAGGCTTCTCAGGTCATCATTAAGTGAAACTCTTGAAAAACATTGATAAGAAAATAATTGTATGCTCCAATAGTACGAGTATATCCCCTCGCTCAATATATAATTTGCTGACAAACTACATCCCCAGACATCATCATTCTCTGCCGAATGTTATGCTATAATTAGCGCTATGCAATTCACTTTCACATTAGAATTCAGTTATTTTCTTATCTTATCCGACTTGTAATCATTCTTCTTGCTATACCTCTGATTCGTTCTTATCTTCCCTGTCTCCTGTTCTCATCATTAAATCTTTAGTATATCTTCTTAGTCTTGCTGATCACACAGTTAAGTTTCTGGATCCCTAGCCATGTCGGTATAGCCGGTAACGAGTGAGCCAACCACCTAGCTTTTTCAACAAAATCCCTCATCTATTTTTCTCCTTATAAAACACCTGCTTCAGACTTTCTTCCGATCCACCGCAAATTATTGCGCAATGCCTGGCAAACTAAATGGGACGATCTACCACCTAATTATGCTGCATGGCATAGACATATAACTTCCTCTATTCCCAAACATCCATGGTTTAAAGACCTCGAGATTTTTAGGCACCTAATTGTATCCTATACTCGGCTTTGAATCGGTCATAGCTTACTTCCTCATTATTCTTCTAAATTTAACCTAAACTCTTCCCCTCTCTGTACACGACATCTCAATGAATCGATATGCGATTTTGATCACATCTTTTTCAATTACCCTTCTTTCATCACTAGTAGACAATTCCTTTTTTCTTTTCTTTCTTCTTTTAGCTATATCCCTCCCGATTCTAACCTTCTTAACTCTCAACTTATTCCAATCATTCATTCTCTTATTCGATTCATTTATACCGCTGGCTTTCTTATTTAAAGTTAATAAGTAGTTCTTTATTGTTTATATATTTTATTTTTATTTTTAAACACATCATCATATTTTTAATTGCTTTGCTGTAATTTTTTCTAATAAAAATAAAATTAATTTAAAAAAAATTAAAAAAAATATGAGTATGAGAGAAAAGAAAAGTTTTAAAAAAATATATGTATCATGTGTGGCGCGCGCTATACAACTGCAAAATCTGGATACGAAATAAGACAAAACAACAAGTTCTCAAAAGCTTTGAAATGTAATGTAGGAAAGGGATGCTATGAGCGAATTGGATACAATACCATACTAATGATATTAAACTCAAAGAAATAGAGGAACTCAGAGAGATACTCAAAACCATCTAAGTAAGATGATGGAACATTATTGGTCACATTTTGAGACACTAAAATAAACTAATTTATAAAATAATAGATGAAAAAATTGAAGGAATGAGGATGTCTGAGAAATTTATATGTCAAGCAAATAATTTCTAATATTGGACCGCTAAACTACATGAAATTAAAGAGGTTAGCTGATAAGAGGAAAGAGTCGAGAGCGCATATCCAATTGAGAATCCAACTGTAGAATTGAGTACAAGAGAGATACATTTTAATGCACATTAAATACATGTATAAATAATAAATATATAAAAAATAAATAAAAATGTTCTAATGTAAAATACCAGTTATTTCGAGACTACCTCTACTATCAGACGTGGTATTTATTACCCAAGGCATGCTTATTCTGTTGAGCTTCGTCAATATTGTAATTTATAAAAATTACGTGTAAGAGTATATGACAAATTTTCTTTGTTTTGTTTTATTATGCTATTTTTTAATATTGTTTAGTTAGTTAAATATTATTTAAAAAAGTGCTATTGTATATATATTGAATTAAAATCTTATTAATAAATTAATACAAATTTTTGTATTATTTGTTAATTATAAATTAAATATAACTATAAAACATTGTGATAAACGAGCATGATCATACATCAGTCAGCATTCGTCACTGCTGAACATGTGCCTGTCTAATTAATTTAAAAAAATTTGAAGATCATAAAAATGTGTATTTTTATGTAATAAAACCAACTAAAAACAGAATTCAAATTGTAGGTCTCTATGCATAGATATTAAGTATTCTCAGTTAGTGTTTACATACTGTATATATTAAAATTTTTATTAATAAAAAATAAATAAAAATTAATAAATTGTTAATTCTAATAAATTAATAAATATATATGTATTGTAAATAAAAAAAATGTTTAACACTTTTTCCATCTATTCTTCAAACCCTTGTTAAATTAAAAACTTCTTTAAACCTAATTTGTTTGTTTGATCGCTTGAATTTCAAACTACCAAGTCTACTATCGAATCTACTGTAGTAACATACCAACGTACAATTTATACCAGATGTTTACAAACACCAGAAACGGTATAAAATTAAATTTATGATAGCTCGTATAGAATTATATATTTATAATTTAATACAAAAATATTTACAGCATGCAATTACTAAATAAACATAAGTTATTGAAGTGTATTGAGTAGAGCGCAGATTTATAAGCATTTGCATATTTATTCTGATTGGTCGTATGATATGGTAAGTTAGAACAACATTTTTTTTATGACATAACAATTTA